CAAATCATCAGATCGATATTATTGAGCTCCTAGCTCCTAAGAAAACTATTTTAAATGAGACAAGTCAACAAAAACACCTATCATTGCCATTCCTTCATAAACTGCATATTCGAAATAACGAGCGAATGGAAGAGATAAAAGTCGTTCTTGAAAATAGCAAATGGATGTGGTATGGCGTAATTGCAATACTCACAGCAATCATAATAGTAATATTGTATATGAAGTTAAAGCCCAGAATTATCAAAATAAAAACTGACACTGACCAGCCTCAACATAGTTTGTCAACGATGAACATTGCCAAAAGCAGAGAAGATATTAGAGCCCGCTTGGAAGCAATTGTGGCTGAGGGCAAACACATTTGAGGTGGAGGGTAGTTAACATATGTAGTGGAATGTGCCACTTGACACCAGCAACAATAGCAGCAGCAGCAAATGTACAAACGTGCGAACGAATGCATGTACGTGACTAAATGTGAATACAAATGCAGCGTCAACAATTTAGCTTTAAGAAATTAGAAAATAAGATATAGAATTAAGAGGTAGCATAGGTAGATTAGAATATGAATATTGAAACAAGTAATTTTTAGCAAAAACTCCCTCAACTCCCATATAAAAAAAAAATATATATATATATATATATATATCTCATGATCCACTGATCGGCTCTCAACTACCTCTGAGACACTACCTTTCCGATGCAAAAAGAATTATCGAAATCGGTTGACGTGGTCCAAAGTTATGCGGTAACATACATAAAAAAAAAAAAAAAAATATTCCGACGAACTGATAACCTCCTCCTTTTTTGGAAGTCGGTTAATAAAGCCAGTCTTGATTTGACAACCAAAAATATCTTGTACAGTCAATAATGACAAGCGAAAAGTTCGTTTTATTTGCCAATTGGGGCGAAAGTTTCTCTGTAGTGAAACAGCTGTTCTTTGTTTACATTTTAATTGTTCTTTCTGACCGCCACTGCGACAGACGGGGTTTCTTTTAAATAAAATACACCGCAGTAATGGATTACGAAACGCCGGGAAAGTGAGTAATTTTATCATAGAAAAAATTTATTTCATTTTATTATGAATTCGTGTAGTAACAGACGTGGAAAATATGAACGCACCACACAAGAGCAGCTTCAGTTTTGTGAAGACCACCCCGAATTGCAAACGTGTAAAAACTGTTCAAAAAAAAAAATTTTGTCTCGAGGAACTCGGAGAGTCTTCTTCTCTGTATAATTTCTTCTTGCTCCACAATAAAAGCCGCGTACATAATAATTATTTCCTTCGTGAATAATATTCTGCAATGGATACTATTATGATATGAATACGCAAATAATAACTTTTTAACACAGCTACTTAGGCAAGTAAAATGGAAACACAGTTTTCATTTAGTAAAATTTAGCAACTTTTTTCTGCAAAATTTATAAAATTTAAAATATTAACATATATGTTTTAGCGTTGTCACGTACTCAATAGGTCATCACAAAAATAATAGCAATTGTCACCATTGGAGCTTTCAAATTGCCCTCTGCATACCTAAACGTGACAATTGATTATAAACATGACAATAGTTATAGCGGCGAGTTTTGTCATTGCACGCGAATAGGGCTGTAAATCCTGCAAATCGTACACGTTCTGGAACACACTAATTATTGGCCCCTATTATGAGTTGCATTCGATCTTCGACTGTGGTCGAAAGTGCTGATCGAACGAATTTTCATTTGGTATTATGACGCTCATTTGCTGAAGAATAACGCCATTGTGAATTTCGCTCGGTTAGGTTGTTCACAATAGTATATTTTTCACCGTTGAGAAGCTTTGTTTACCAATCGAGCAAACTAAATAGTGTGCTTATACATATGTATGTATGCAAATTTGTGCAAATTAAAATTAAAAAAAAGGCGAGTTCATAAAAACGTGGTAAAAATTAGTACAACGGAGTTCTGGTTCAACGATTCGTCAAAGGATGAGAGCTTGGTAAACTGGCTAGGGTAGAAAATGTTTAAGAGAGTTTAAGTGTAGTATTTCGAATATATTT